AAAATGTGTTTTGTAATCCTTTCCAAGCAGATATCTTGTTCTCCCATAGCATATTGTTTAGCATTGGATCATATTATATTCATAAACCATCCTAGTTTATTCTTACTGGTTCTTCACTCATTCGTTCATTAACCTATTAAGCAAACCATCAGGCTGTCTAACCATCTACCCATCCATCTAGAAAGCATACATAAAGCTGACTACAACTAGTGATTATTTGCTTGGGGCCAAGAATGTTACTTAACATATTTTTATTTATTTTAATAAAATTTATTTTGATTATATTTTCCCCTTTTCCAACTCTGATTCTCAATCTCTCCACTCAACTTCATTTCTTCATATTTTCTTTTTTTCTCTCTCTCTCTCTTACACACACACAGACACACACACAATCACATATCACAAATGAAAATCACAACAAACAAAATCTGAACAGGTTAAACCATACAAAAATCTCAGCATTGAGAAAGGGAAGGGGGTATAAAGTCTCACCTTTAACCAAGAAGCCATTTACAAATGATGTCTGCCAAGCAAGATCAAAATCAGTTCTCTCCATTGAAATGTCAAGAGGTATATCAACCACACTACAGGATAGGCTCCATGTCCAGGAGTACTTGGCCAAGACAAAATAAACTGCTTGGTTTTCTGTTTGTTTGTTTCTGTTGTGTGTGTGTGTGTGTGGGAGGCATTTTACATGTGCCTGTAGGTATGCATGCATGTTTATGCATGTACATGCAGAGGTCAAGGGTCAAAGCTTGGCATCTTCCTCAATCACTATTTATCTTCTTTTTTTTGTTTTTCTTTATTTTATTTACTTTATTTATTAATCTATTCTTTGACAATTGCAAATGTATGTATAAAGTGTTCAGATTGCTGTTAGTCTACAACTTCTCTTATCTTCCTCTTACTACTGGCTGCCATGCCCTCTTCCATTCTCCTTATAACTCCTTCTCCCATATTGAGTTTTTGGGGTTTGGTTTTTATTTGTGTCCCAATTAGCTTAACTAGAGCAATGCAGTTTACACTGGGTTTGAAATTATACACTGACTCCTGGTCAATGAGCACATGGCTGAAGACAATGACTAGCCCTGCCCCAGAATCCATCAGTCGTCAATAGTTAGCAAGAAGAGGCAGGAGTCTCTGAACCATTACCCTGTCCACCCATCCACAGCTATTGACAGGACCAGTACCAGCCTTCACAACTACTGTGAGATCATGTCAGTAATGGCTGTGTCATGTTCAGAAGGCAGTGTTTCATAGCCCTTCTCCCTATCTTCTCTTTGTTACCATGCTTCTGTACCCTTTTCTTCAATGTTTCTTGAGCCTTAGAAGGGCTGATATACACATCCCTTTTAGGAATGAACATTCACCTTGCACTTAGTACCCCCAGCAGTCTTGAGCTTCTATGTCAATACCATTCACAGCAATGACAAGCTAGTCTGATTAAGGGTGAGAGGAATATTTATCTATGGCTATTAATACAAATATTTACAACACAGTTTGAAGGCATGTCATTTTAGCATACAACAGCAGTAAGTTCCCTCTGGGATCTACGACTTCCCAAGCCATTTTTTTTATTTGCTTGTTTGTATGTTTTTTTTTTAACCTGCTTTACAATAACAAGTATGAATTCCCTCCTATGGAGAAGGCCTCAAATCCAATCAGAGAGCAGATGCCTATCCACTAATAGTTATGCCACACCACTGAACCAGGGTGTACACCTTGTCTGGCAGTTTCGTATTGTGGTTCATAGAGGGCTCATAAAGGGGTAAGAACATTGATGTCCCCCACCCTACTCCAGTATCCTGAATAGAATCTTCAGGGGTTATGAAAGCTAGTCTTTGGGGAATTTTATTTCTCTACATCACACAACTAAGGTGTGTGATGTCTTCAGTAATAGGGTCTTACCTTCTAGAGCATCTTGTCCACCTACTTTTTTTGAGATGAGGGTTCTCACTCAACTTTGAACTCAGTGATTGAACTAGGCTTGCTGGACAATTAACCCCCAAAAGCTGCTGGTCTGCAGTCCTGACCTGTGGTTGCAGATGTATATTGCTCTGCTCAATCTGGCTTTTATGTAGTTGCTAAGGGTTTGTTTGTGTGTTATTTCATCAACAGATCTGTCTCTCTAGCCCCTGACTAGGAACTTAATGACAGAAGAGAGCTTCTTATTTATAGCCTGCCTCCTGTATCCTCCCCGGCTCTCTGCAGAACCTGTGAATGCTTGCTTACAGGGCAGAGGAGCGCTACAACTGCAGGGGGATTTAATTCGGCAGTCAGTTGTCTTTATGATTATCTTTGCATGGCAAGTACATCACAAAGGCCCTTGTGGGTGGAAGGGCGAAGAATTTTGGGAGGCCCTGCTGATCAGATGTTGTAGTCTGCCATAGCCTGGCAGCTTCCTCTAAACTCAGCAACATGGTGGACTCCCTCCCCACGCCCTAGCAAAGGTTCTCCGTTCTCTACCTAGCCTTATCTGGAGGATGTCTCTAGGCCAGGATGCCTGACTTATCTCTACCATGACCCTTGCCAGGTTCCTACTCAAAGTTTTCCCTCTTCTGTACCTGTAATAACTAAGACTTGTACTAGGAGCTTTGATATAGGAACCTACTGCCACATATCCAGCCTTATGATAGGAGCATGGCACCTTGTGCAAATTAGGGTTTGTCCCCACAAGTACAAACTAGAGTTTGTCCCCAGGTTCCCCAATCCTATATATTCCTATACTCTGGAATAAAGATGAGGTGATTTACTGGAGTCATATCACAGAGGGCTGTCTCTGTCATATTCACAGCCACCTGAACTCTATTCCCCACTTCCAGCTCCCTCCCCTGACATGGACTGAAGCTGATGATCCCAAGGAAGGAGAACCACAGTAGAAGAAAATGGAGAACACTGTGTGAAGCCTCACACATGTTGCTATTTGTGAAAATGAAAGAATGCAACCCCAAGCCAAAATAGCTTCAAGAAACCAGAGGAAGCAAAAAAGTGTGGCCTCCCCCAGCACCATGGGAAAGAACACAGCATTGCAGAAAGCTTGGTTCTATTTCAGTAATGCCTAGATGGGACAAGTAACCAAAACAAAGTGATACATTTGTGTTGTTCTAAGCCTCTAAGTTTGTGACATTTTGTTAAGGCATCAGTGGCAAATCAATATACTATCTTAAAAAAAAAAAACATCGTTCACATGCATGTGTAGCTCCTCCCAACTTACAAAGCAATTTTATGTATGTTATACAGTTTGCCATTCAGCCTACCCCATTATGACAGGAAGCCTGGATTGGGAGAAACGTGAAGACTGTCCAGTAGGCAAATTCTGACTATCAAAGCAGCTCTATCTGCAAAGGTTGCCTTCCCCATTGGCACCAAGAAAAGACTCAATCTGGGTTTGATACAGATCAACAAAAGGAAGATGAGACATTTAAAATGGACCACCTATAAGAATGATGGAGCGTTCACCACAACAGCCATCCTGTGCAGTCCCCTGTCACGTTACCGGCAGCGTCCCACTTTTCCTCACTTCATAATCAGTACTGATGCTTCAAGGAGGCCTCAGCGCTGCTGCTTTCTCCGCAATCTGCAGGCCATGGAGGAAACCACAAATGTCACCTTTCTAAAATAGCATCCTATTTGTGTTCTGGTCACGTGACACTGCGGGGCAAGAGTGCTGGAATGCAGAGTGTGCTTCTCTCCTTATCTTCCCACCCTCCCCGCCCCCATCCCCAAATCAGGCAAATTGCAGAGCATGTGACTTTACTTCAGAGTCCACTTAGCTTAATTGAACGGAATGTGATTTCTGTGACATACAGGTGGCGACCTAAGCAGCTTAGTATCTGATTTGAGGTGGCAGTCTCGAAATGAGGTGCTTGCTGAGCGCATTTTCATAGACCGCACAAGGGAAACGACCCGGGATGAGAGGCAAGAGTGGGCCATCTCATGGGCTTATATGGTCTGTTAGGAGCTAGGCCTTTAGAGGGAACCCTTCCTCTACCCACTTAATACCCTGTCCTTAGTAAATGAAGAATCGAAATCTCAAAAGCTTTGTGTACTCATTGGGGCCCCACTGCAAAGAAGGACTTATGCCACAGCAGAGATTCCTTACACCTCTGTCTTGTCCTTGGCCTGTGACAAATGTAACCTTTCATGCTATTTGCTCTGAGGCTGAGGCAGGGAGTAGGAGCTTGTGGACTCTTAGATGAGAGAAAGCCCTGGCTTTCCCCTTGATCCCAGCTGCATTTCAGTAACCCAGTCATAGCCTAGGATCTCAGCAAGTTGCTTCTCTTTCCTGAGCCTGATTTCCTTTTATTCTATAGGATTTATATTGAAGTAGTGTTCTATTTTATTGTACATGAGTGTTTGCTTGTATGTTTAAGCTTCATTTATTGTTTACAGTGTCTGATAAGACCAAAAGAGGGTGCCAGATCATCTGGAACTGGAGTTACAGAAGGTTGTGGGCTGCCATGAGCATGCTAAGAATAAAAAATACCCCTGTCCTAACAAGAATAGAAAGTGTCCTTAACCACTGAGCAATCCCTCCAGCCTCTTTATCTTTTACTGAGAATTTCATGCATGCATAAATTTTGTTTTGATCAAGTCCACCCCTATTCTCTCTCTCTTACTCGTCCCTTACCTTCCCTGCCATTTTTTTCTCTCCAGGATTCATGTGCTCACACAATTTTTTTAAAATACCCTCTGAGTCCAGTTGGTTCAGCCTATATATTCAGGGCCATCTACTGCACCATGTGTTATTGAGAGCTGCGTGCAGCCGTGGCTCAAAGATGGCGCTGGCTTCTGCCTTCCACCCTCCCTATGGTGAGCACTCTCTGTGATCAACAACTCCTTATTTGGCTAAGGCTGGGGATTTGGCTTGCTTCTGCGCACCTGGACCTATCCGCAGTACCCACGTGGCAGATTGGGGTTGGCTGCCCAGAAGCTATTTAGGTTGTGGGTTGGCTTTCTCCGGGGTCAGAAGTCAGAAGATTGTTTCAAGGTTCCTGAATAAACTGCTTGGAGAAGAGCCTGGTGTTGCGTCTTCCTTGCTGTTCGAGGCGGATGCAACAAGTCGTGGCCCGTTCGCGGAGCCTTTACCTCCCCTGTCTCTTGAAGGCTCAGAACTCTTCGCAGTCAGGGCAGTGCACTGGTAAGTCCCCAGGTAAGGTGGGGATCCGCGACAAAAGCAGGCATATTGCTCTTCTCTGTAGACAAAGAGCGAGCGAAGAAAGTTCGCGGTGCGGCGAACCGAAAGTAAACAGGTCGCGGACGACCTAACCAAAAGGTAGATAAATTTTAGTACTAATTATGGACGCCTCTTCTTCGCACCCAATATTTTTGGCTCTTAATGAGCTGCTCAGATCAAAGAACTTAGAAGTCAAGAAAAGTACCTCAGAGAGATTCCTAGAGGAGTGTGACGTTGTATCTCCCTGGTTTGCAGTTTCGGGCAGCCTCACTGTGTAGTCTTTTAAGGACCACATTTGTAGTCTTTTAAGGACCACATTTCTGGAGAAAACTGCTTCTCCTTCAACCAGCAGCCATCTATTACTAATAGCTTCTAGCTTAGCGGAGGAAGTTCATGAGCACCTCCCCTGTCCATGCTGGGATTGTGGCTGGCTTGATTTTGTGCAGGTCTGCCCCGAGTTACTGCAGCTTGAAATTCACATGCCTGACTCTGTTTTCTTGTTACCATGTCCTGACTTTTGCAAAGCCTCTCATCTAAAAATGTGGTTGAACATAATGAAATAATGCATCTTAAGAATGAGTTGATAGGTTGGGGCATATAGCAATTGTTCAGACATTGTTAGCAGAGCTGATTGTTATCACAATACTGTTCTGTGTCCTTGTGACACAGATTCTCCGGGCTGGGAGGCTTCAATGCAATGAGCAAGCTCACTTCTCATTTTTAGCCATCTTCATTATTTTGTTTATACAACTGACTCAATGGTTCAAAGAAGTTTTCTTGAGGTACAAGATCCTGCAGGACTCTCTAAAATCAACAGAAGTTAGGCAAATTCAGCAGTCTAAGCAAACAGTTTAGATGGCTATAGACATTTTCACAAGAGACATTTCACCTACATTTACTCAAAACTGGCATTTCCCATAAGATGGCATCTGAACACATTTGAAGGCAGGCGTCCTTGTCCATGGGTAACTCACAGTCTTCATCTGACCTTTCCAGTCCTTGCCAGTGTACACCCACCTGTTTCATCTGCATGTTCCATGATTTCTACTAAAAACAAGCTATTTTGCTTCTTGTGTGGAGTGAGCCTGCATCTTTCAAATTTAGTTATCCATAGCTGTATGTTAAATATATGCACACTAGTGTTTGCTTAATATATTTTCTAAAAATTAATACTTGTTTTACATCATTCTTAAAATTTTACTGCCCTTTATTTAGATATCCTAGTGGAATCTTCGACCTGGTTATTTTTAAATTATTATTATTATTATCATCTCACATCCTGGATCAGTTTCCCCTTCCTCCTCTTCTTCCCAGTCTCTCCCCCACCTCCATTCTGCCCTCTCATCTACTCCATTTCCATTCAGAACAGGGCAGGCCTCCCATGGATAGCCACCAAACCTGGCATATCAAGTTGCAGCAAGACCAGGCACCTCCCCTCCTTGTATTAAGGCTGGATAAGGCAACCCAGTATGAGGAACATAGTCCCAAAAGTTGGCAAAAGAGTCAGAGACAGCCTTTGCTCCCACCATTAGGAACCTCACAAGAAGATCAAGCTCCCCAACTGTAACCCATATGCAGAGGGCCTACTTCTGTCCTGTCAGTCTACCTAGTTGTCGGTTCAGACTCTGTGAGCCCCTATGAGCCAAGTTCAGCTGATTCTGTGGATTTTCTCATGGTGTTCTTGACCCTTATGACTCCTACAATCCTTTCTCCCCCTCTTCCCCAGGATTCCCCGAGTTTCACCAAATGGCTATTTCCTTGAATCTCGCTGTGGAGAAGGTGCATGTATTGCTATTGACTGATATCCTTCCATTCTGCTATGGATATCGCTCTGTATAAATAGACACTGATTGAACAGTGGCCAGGCAGGAAGTATAGGCGGAACTAATAGAGAGGAGAAAAGAGGAAACAAGAAGGCAGAGAGGAGACTGCCTGGAGCTGCCGCCATGACAAGGGAGATGTCAAGTGCCGTTAAGCCAAGAGCCATGTGGCAAAGTAAAGATTAATAGAAATGGCCTAAATATAAGAGTAAGAGCTAGACAATGTTAGGCCTGAACTAATGGCCAAGCAGAGAAGCTCTCCAACAACACCATTCCATTCTGGTTCCTCCCATATCAACTTCATCTTTCCACATTTATTTTGTCTGAGAGTTGTATAGACAGGGTATGGTGTGGAGTGTTGTCAACAACACAGTGGCACCAACTATGTTTCATGTTCAACTGTCTCTTGCATTTTCTCTTAACCGATTGATATAGAAAATCAGCTGACCTCTGAATGTGGGTGGCAGTTGAGTGGCTTGATCTGTTTGTGGAGCCCCAGGCAGTGGGACCAGGACTTACTCTAAGTGCATGAACTAGCTTTTTTTGTAGCCCATTCCCTATGGTGGGTTACCTTGCTCGGCCTTCATGTAGGGTGGATGGGCTTGACCCTGCCTCAACTTGGGATGTCAGACTTTGTTGACTCCCCCGAGGGAGGCCTTATCCCCTCTGAGAAGGAGAGGGGAGTGGGGAACAGCAGAAGGGGAGGGATGGTGAACTGTGGTTGGTATGTAAAATGAAAAAAGAAGAAAAAGGAAAATCAGCCGACTGATGATTCATATTTCAGTTTTATTTGACATGATCCGGAGAATGTTTTCCTGTGATTCCTTCACAGAGCTCTTACTATCTCTTAGGTCATTGTTTTTTTTTTGTTTTTGTTTTTGTTTTTTTTCTGTGATGCTAGTAACTATTGTTAATTCCTTAATTACAGGCTTGACTTCAACAGTTCTCGCTCATATAAACCCTCTTCTTACTCACTAATTAGACTCCCAGTGCTCCACCAGGGGCCCAGCCGTGGATGTCTGCCTTCAGATTCCTCAGTCCTTGGATGGGGTTTATGGCACCACTATCTGGGTGTCTGGCCATCCCATCACCAGAGTAGGTCAGTTCCTGCTGTCTCGCGACCATTGCCAGCAGTCTTTTGAGGGGGTATCTTTGTGGATCTCCGTGGGCCTCCCTAGCTCTCTGCTTCCTCCCCTTCTCACCTTCTCATGTGGTCTTCATTTACCATGGTCTCCTATTCCTTGTTCTCCCTCTCTTTTCTTGATCCAGCTAGGATCTCCCACTCTTTCCCTCGACTGTCGCCCTTCATTGTTCCCACTCATGACCAGGCTATTCATGTAGATCTCGTCCATTTCTCCGTGTCACTGGTGGAGTTCTGACTGCAGCATTCTTTCCCAACTAGACACGATATTTCAGAGAACAGAAACTTACATGGAAGATTCGTGCATGCTCATTTCACTGACCAGAATTTTGCTGACCTGTTTCCTCTCTGCGTCCTGGTCAGTCTGTGGGTCCATGACCGCCTTCTTTAGGATGCAGCAATCCTACCAATACCTTTCTAGTCATTGTTCAGTTTTGGTTTTTCTTTGAATGGGAAATGTCCTGGTAGGCTTGTGTGTTTGAACTGGTGGCACTGTTTGGGAAGGTTATGGAATCTTTAGATAGTGGAACTTTTCTGAATGAAATGTGTCACTGGGGGTGGTGGCATTGTTTGGGAAGGTTACGGAACCTTTAGATAGTAGAACATTTCAGAATGAAGTATATGACTGGGGGTCAGCTTCGGGGGTTTATAGACAGGCCCCACCTATATTCTCTTCTGCTTTCCAGCTGTAGATGCAATGTAATGGGCCATCCCCGTGTCCCTGCTGCCCGTGTCTTTGAAGCTAAGGATTGTATTGCCTGTAGAACCGTAAGCCAGAATAAACCTCTCTCCTTAAGTTGCTTTGTCAAGGATGCTTTATAGTAGTAAAGAACATGGCCAAGAAACATATTAGCATCTTTCCCAGCATGGATTTTTTTTTTTAGCTATAAACCCTACCCTTAACTTCTCTTTTCCTGTGTCTTCCTTACTATTTAAGAATTCTATGTCCCTGTTTGACTTATGCCCATTTCTCAACAAGTGTTGAGGACAATGCACCCATCAAGAGGACAGAAGTAGAGAATGTGAGAGGACATTTTGTGTAAAAGGATGAAAACTTGGAAACTGTTGGGTATTGTTGTTTTACAGTGGAGTCTCAGCTAAGAAAGCTCAGCTGGTACTTATAAAGTTCTGAGTAGTTATTCCCATACTCCCAAACCGTCTGACTTTAAAAAAAAAAAGAATCTTAAACTGTCGACCTTCTGTGATATCTCTCAATCAGCTGCATCATTAAAGCTGTTCCAAAATAGTTCTTATGGCAAGAGAAGGGAGAATGAGCCAGCAAGAACGATGTGGAGACTCCTGTAGTTGTCTCAGACTGCCCCAGCAACAATAGTATGATCCCATGTGTATGATCACTTCGTTAAGCTAGACTATGCTGGCTCTTACATGTTTTCATCTGAAATATGAACACCACAAACACAAATGATGGGTTTCAGTTATTTATTTTGGTCAATAGCAGATGTTTTGCAAATTAGCATAATGAATGCTAGTAATAGGTTGTCAATCCTGAAATGAAGTTGATAAATAATGTAATGGGCACTATAAATAGATTCTCATTGAAAAGTGATAGTATGCAGAATAAGTGAACAGGCAAAATTAACCCCAGAAATGCATGGTGGTGCTGGGGTGGTGGGGAAGGGACAACAGATCTAGCAGAGCTTCTCAGGTGGATATCGTAGGGGCAGACACAAAGTACTGTTAACAATTGTCTTGAGCTCACCTTGGACCCCCTGGATACTGCTGAGTCAACAAAAGCCTCTGGATCCTCCTACAGAAGGTTTCATGAATGCACCTCAGGACATCTCTATGAAGAGAAAGCTGCTACTTTATTTCCTCCTGTATCTGTTTTTGAAATTGTTGGACAATAAACATTTATTTCATCATGCCTTTTAAAATATGAATCTGTTTATGATTGTACTGAATAGTAAGGTAGACTTGACTAATTAATTATGTTCCCAATTCAAGGACTTTTCTTGCATAGGAAGATGCATTTAACTATTTCATTTATTTATTTATTTACCTGTTAATTTATTCATTGTTTTTATTGTGTTTGATTTTCGAGACAGGGTTTGTCTGTGTATCCCTGACTGTCCTGGAACTCACTCTGTAGACCAGGCTGGCATTGAACTCACAGAGATCCACCTTCCTTCTGAATGCTGGGATTAAAGTTGTAAGCTACCGCTGCCCAGCTTCGTTATTGTTTTTATTTATTTACTTTTTTAAAAAGCATGTGCATGTATGTGTTCATGTGTATGTGTGCAGGAGCATGTATGCCATGGAATGCACGTGAAGGCCAGAGAACAAGCTTGGGTGTCAATCTTTATCTTCCACCTTGAATCAGGGTCTCTTTTACTGCTGCATGTGTCAGGTTAACTACCTACATGCTTCAAGTGATTTTTCTGTCACTACTTTTCATCTTCCAAAAAGGGCACTCTGATAACAGAGTCCTGCACTACTGCATCCTGCTTCAGTGTGATTTCTGGGGACCTGAACTAACATCAGCAGGCTTGTGTGGTGTGGACTTTACACAATGAAATGTCTTCCTTAACTTTCCTTCTTCATTTGTTTATCTATCTATCTCTCTACCTATTATCATCTACCTATTTTCTTATTATGCGGTGCTGGGATAAAGCCTAGAGTCTTGTACATGATAAACAAATGCCATAATAATCAGTCCTGCTACTGTCAGTCATCTCTTGGTTCATGCTTTTCACTGGGAACCATGTCCTTAGGCGATACTATGCCATGCTTGTTTTTGTCCATCTTACTCTCAGACTTTATTTTATTGTATTCAGCAGATTGCTGACTTCTCCTTCTCTGTTTGCATCCAGATCTTAGATTCTTGATTCTACCGATATTCATCATCTAGAACCATATGTATAGAGCTTGGGAGAGGTGATAGCTTTGTCTCAGAGACAGGTCTGAATAATATCAAGACAGACCATCCAGGGGGAAGATGTAAGCTGAAAGGAGAAGACAGAAGGGAACCAACTAAAGATTCCTGCTGTCAGTGGCCAGAGGCTAAACAGAAGTTGCTCATATGTAATAAATGGTAAGGAAAACATAGAAGTTCCCTATGGAGAAACACTACATCAATAAAGGAACTGGTCCCAGTGGTCAAGCTCAGGGCATTAGGGTCTGACCTAGTGATCTGCATGACCTAAGAGGTCTACATGATGATGATCTGATTCCAGATATCTTCCAAGTCACCAACTGGTTTTCTAATGCCTTATGGTCAGCCATGAAAACATACATATAAATAACACTGCAGAGATGTGCTTAGGGGCTGCACACTACCCTGAGGATGTCCTCAGTCACTGTGTGTGGTATCTTCCTATTAGCCCCTTATCTATCAACAAGGATAGATTTATTATTTGATTAATTTCTACTTAAGACATTCTTGGTCTTCTCAATCCCAGCCAGGCATTTAGCCACATGCTTCAGGATACAAACTTTACCTCTAATAGCCTTCAGTCGCTGAGGGATAAGGATGCCAAATAGACAGTGATGACACAGAGAGTAGAGACAAAATGATCTGACATTTAGACAGTGCAGAACATATTCCAGGTGGGAAGGTAAAAATAATCTTAATAACAACCATTTATTTTGCATATATTATGTGCTTCCTTGTAGGACAGATGCTTTATATAAATTGGGTCTGTTTAATATTCCAAGCAGCATTGTAACATAAGCAACATCTAACTATTCATAGACCACATATTTTCTGCCTGCCCATTATTTGCAAGGGTCTGGCGATGCTTGTACTTGCTTGTGTATGCTTGTGGTAGAAGACTGCAAAGAAACAAGAACTTCAAAAATCCTTCTCCAGCCTCTGCTAGAGCTACTCCTAACCCACAACTTTTGACACCAAATATCTCTTTTTCTCTAAATACTGAAATACCAGAATTCTTAGAGAGGGGTAATTTGACTGAACTTTGAGAAAAAATAAAGATCAGAATTTAAGTCAAGGACTATTAGATGTTTGCCAGAGACAGTCAGCAAGGCTTCTTTCTGAAGCCCTAGAGCCTGGGAACACCATGTTAGGGAAAAACTTACCACAAGGCATGAAGGATAAAATGTTATTTAATAATTTTTTCAATTATATCTCAGGTTGATAATAGAGACTCAGGAAAGACTTCTCAGGAAAATGAAGGTGACCAGGCTATCCATCAGAGCATAGAGGGATTAAGATTTGGCATGGTACACTTGACATTGGCATAAGACATTTATTACATAATTATGATGGAAGATGTTTAAGATAATTTTAATTTTGAAAATTCCATACCTGTGTACAACATATTTTGATCATATCTTACCTCAGACTTTCTCCCTCCAAATTCCCCTATCCCCTCAAGTATATTCTGTTCCCAAAATCATATTAAACACAGAAAAAAAACATTAATCTGGTCCATTCACTAGGGTGTGAGCAACCTGCTAGTGACTACTTTCCAAAAGAGGAAATTGATTCTCTCTCTACTGACAACCATCGGGTGCTAAGAACTCCTCAACTAGAGCTTTCCTCCCTCATTCAAAATGAAAATTTAATTGTCCTGAAATTGTATGAGTCTTGTTGTGGTAACCAAGCAGTTGTGTGCTGCATGTATGTCATGTCCATACGACAGCATGTCACAGATCTACTCCCCATTGTTTATCTCTTAAAGTCTTTTTAAGATTTTTACAGGATCACAATTTCTGCACCTAAGGTTCAGGAGACATAGCAGAAGATGATGTGGGGATCTTGTAAGAGTCAGAAGACCAGGAGAGCTGCTGTGAGAATGTGTCTCCATGAAATGAAAGAGAAGCTTCACTCATGATACCTAAACAATATGGCTGCTAAAAGAAGACCTGAACAAGGATACTACCAATAGACATGATAGCATGGAAGAGGAAAAACTCTCACAGGGCTCCACCCCTGGACAAAGAACGACAGGTATGCCATGAGGAAGAAAGAGCCTTTCCCAGGGATGATTCCCCCCTAAATGTTTATCTAATACCAAGTGGTCATTTCTGAAATTATATATATATATATATATATATATATATATATATATATATATATCACTAAATGGGATGAACTAACTATGTTATATATTTGTGTGTGTGTGTGTGTGTGTGTGTGTGTGTGTGTGTGTGTGTGTGTGTGTGTAAAGTGTTGGATGGAGGAGGCAAGAGGAAAATGCTATAATTATATTATCATTTTGGATAAATTTATTAAAAATATTTGGAAAAAAATCTAAAAACCACAAACAATAGGACACTATTGATCTAAAAGTCAGGTGTCAGCAAATGTGAGTGGGGTGAAATATGGCCTCTTTTCCGTCATTGTGAATATAACTTTATAGGAATGCAGAGTGCACAAATGCCCATGGGTTGCCTGTGGGCCATCTTTTGTTGTGGCTGAACACCTGAGTAGTTACAGCAAAGATCTTAAGAGCCACAAGGTCCAAATAAAATTTTCTCTGATCCTCTACAGAGCACATTTACTGACTCCTAGGTTGTCATCTTATCCATGGCTCTGGAGATTAAATGGAGAATTTTGACAGCACCTCTTTTATCATTGTGGTCCCTACTTATTTTGGCTTGATGGAGTTTTCATTTGAGTTTTAGGAAGACTGAACACATGGAAACTTATAGGCAGACTTAAAAAGACAGAGACAGTGACAGCCATCTAAACAAATCAATTCAGTTCCTGTTGACAGAATTAAATGCTTCTGGTCTCTAAGGAACACAGCTGAATAGCTGGTGCACTTTATTCCCCAGGCAATGTAGTAGGAGGAGCAAAGATTATGTTGACTAACAGTATTAGTACATAAAGAACACAAGGCAAATAAACAGTCAAAGTAACAGATTCTTTGCTTATGATTCCAAAAAAGAATAAGTTTGTGTTGCCATCGGAGAGATCTGAGGCAGGCAGCTTCTTAGGGGAATCCTTTGAAGTGAGAGCAGAAAGACTGTAAAGTTTCCACAGTCATAACTTTGAGGTTGTAAAATGCATCTTGAAAAAAATCTGAAGCTGAGTCTTTCCGTGTGACTCTAAACATTTTCTTCCTGTCTTCAGGGAAGTTTCTCAATATTGTGGGAGCTTCTGGGCCACTTCCAGAGTCCACTTATACATTTCCTGATATTTCTTAGACCTGAAGCAAATTTCCCTGTTATTTGTGTGTGTGTGTGTGTGTGTGTGTGTGTGTGTGTGTGTGTGTGTGTGTAAATAATCATGACTAAATCTAATAATTGAAGCAAGAGTAAAGGGATGATGAAAGAGCTGTTCTATGGGGCCTGCTCATCTTGGTTACCCCATTCAGCAACTTTCTGACTAAATTAAATCTCAAATTCATTGGGGGATATGTTTGATGTACATAGAAAATTGAAAATGTATTTCCACTACATTAAGAAAATGGTCATTTTCAGACTGAATCCCTTTATGAGAAGCAATCAGAATTAGATAAGGATAGAGAGCCACTGCCTGTAATATTTAGATGGCCATGATATTAAGGGTGATTAATTATCATTCTAGAATATCACAAGCAATGCTTGCCTCGTCTGTTCTCCTGAATTGACTTCTTCTGCACCCACTATGCTTTTCTAAAGCTGAAACAAGTTTTTAAATGGGCTTTGCACAGGCTAGTTCTGTTGAGCATGTGTGCCTGTCGGTGATAAATGAGACAACACAGACAACATTCCTCGCCTGTTGCTTTCTGTCACTGTATAAAAGAAAGATCACGGGAACGAGCGTCAGACAGACCTAAATTAAAACCCTTGGAATTCACATTGCTCTGGCTCATTTCTCTGCTGTGCTGTAGTGGTTGTTTCATTGGATGGTGGGAAGACCTAAATGAGAAAATGAATACATTAAAAAGATAAAACAGTACAGTGTCTAGCATGCAGCTAGAGCTCGATAAATGTTTGTCTCCACCCCCCTTGTTCACACAAATTGATTTCCTTTTAGAAGCAGTAACAGCAAAGACACAGGGCAAAGGGGAGGCTGTTTTCTCTCCTCTAATGGTTGAGCATTTGTCATGTCAGGAAGGAGCAGCATCTTTACACGTGATCTCTTTGAAGATCAGCAGAGACAATGGGATGAATCGGTATGAAGCACATGTCCTTTCCAGAGATAATGAGTGCCAACTGCCTACAATTGTTGATGCTGGGGCATCAAGGGACAGGTTTATTGAATGCTTCTTATTTGAGCCAGTATCTCTATAAGAGCTCAGTGCTCGCAGCCACCTTATGAAGCAGATGCTGTTGGAAATAAAGAGAAAGGACACTTGTTTCAGTTGCATCAATAGCCAATAGTCACATCAAGCAAAGAAATGTGGCCCTAGAAAGTAAGTGTTATTGTAATCCAATATGTTACACAAATCAGCACTTCATTCTAAATGAGGTGCTACCCCAAACTACACAGAGATTATTTTAGTACAGTAAAATCAGACTCTTAATAAGTGATTTTTTTATGACTAGGAAGATGTTCGTGCATTTATGTGTTTATATAATGGAAGGTTTTGGTAATCATTGGTTGTTTTTGTATTATAAAAAGAATAAAGAAAAACCCCAAACTAAATAAAAACCCTAGGGATTAAGGCAGGAAGATGGTGGGCAACTGTGGTTGGAAGGTGTTTGGTTGTTTTTCTGGAAGAAAGAGGCTTCATGGACCAAATCTACAAAGGAATTAGATCTTATGAAAAACTGCTCCAACCTCTGATGCACTGATGCACTTTGGGGAATTTCAGAGGAAAAAAAAAAAAACAGAGAAAACACTCTGGGAACTTCATTGTGCAATCACTGAAAGAATCAGGTGGTGTGTGTGATGCAGCAAAGATGAATCTAAAGCTCCTGACAGAGAGTTCACAATTTGCAGGGATTCTCACTGAAATGTCACTCTCTGCCCAGCTGTCTCCCAAGCTATCTGATGACTAAGTAGAACTTTAGTCCATAGATCATTCTGTGCTCCTCCTTGCCCTCTTTTCTTTTCAAAGAAAAAATATTCTGAACCACAAATATAGCATCTTAAGAAATAATCATAATCAAATGAGTTAGTTACTCTTTCTTAAAATGATGAAAGATTCTACTCAATGATTTTTTCTAGTGCAGTCTTATCATTTGAGGACACTTTCAGCACTACCTACTCCAGGCAGGACCAAATGGCCACCAAGTCAGCATGAAGCAAACTCATGGAAGAAGCTTAGAAATTGGAAGGAGCTTGGTAGATTGTAAAGTGTCCAGAGGTTCTGAAGATTGATTGCTTTTATGGTGAGTGCAGCTTTATTGTCTCTGTGAACTTTCTTTCAATATTTATGATACATGACCAAAAAATGATATAGAACAAAGTAAGACGTGTTTCTTTTACTATCCAATGCAAGAGTATCATATATGCTTTAAAGTTTTGTACCTTCAAGATGCAGAACACCAACAGTTACTACTTTCCTGTACTTCAGTATCCATTTCCTTAGGTTATCTGCCTCCAAGAGGGTTTCCAGCACCTTCTCATCAGAGAAGGACGGCTGTCCAGTTCTCTAAAACTGAGGTCAAGTCCTATCCAATGCTTCTTGTTAATCCTTATATATAGAATGAGTGGGTATCCTAGAAGCAATGAAAGAGGATAAATTAATAACAAAGAGATGAAGACAAAAGAGGGAGAAAATGGGGCAGAGAAAAAGGAGGGAGTAGAGAAGAAGAGGGAGGAAGAAGAGGAGGAAGAAAAAGAGGAGAAGGAGAATAGGAGGAGATTGGGAAGAGGAGTGAATGGAGGAAGGGAGGGGGAAAGGAAGACAGTAGAGTGGAAGAAAGAGAAGGATTGAGGAGGGGGAATTGAAAGATGAAGAGGAGAGGAGAAAATTCCTGAATGTGTGCCCACTACTGAGTTTAGTATTTTCAGTGCCGATGTGACCCATCTAAGATGGTGAAATGAGGTAAAGATGGTCTGACTGAGAAACCTAAAGATAGGCAAGTCATAAACAGAGGTGCAAGGTGTGGAATAAAGTCACATTTGAGTACATTTCAAGGCTGTTTTAGGCTGGGAGATGTGTGCCTTCCCTGCCATCACTGCTCCTGTGACTTCCAATTATCTTTACCTGATTTCTTTCAGTTCACATATGCTTACTGATGCCATGAGAAGATGAAGGAGAGCTTTTCTTCCAGTAGGAAGGACTTGGCAGTGGAACCTCACAGACTGCAATATCCACAGACTGCAAACTCTACCATTCTTACACTCAGAGTGGTCCACATGTTCTGAGTGCATCCAAGACCTTTTATGCATGATGAATACAGAACAATTTGATTGTATTTATTCTCCACAATAAAGAATGAGGTAGATTCATTGTATTGTCAGTTTTTATCTCTTGAGCACATTGAGAAACATTTTGTTTAGAAGACAAGAGAGGTTGAGGTAGTCAAAAAACTCTTCTGCTTCCATCCCTTTAGGGTATTCTTAACTTAAAGGATGAAGTACACATAGCTGAGCAAAGTATACAAGGTCAGTCCCACCTAGGAACCTTCAAGGATGGGGAATGAAATCTATCATCTAATTCCTACAACATGGGCTTCTCTGTAGCCCTCTACAGCTATTGACTTCTAATGTGTGCTTTGAGTCTTACAAGTTAGATAGGCATTTTCTTCTTTCTCAAACCAGCCCTTCAACTTGAATAACTCAATTCATAAGTATCTACACTCACAGTGGACACTTTTTGAATCTGTTATGAACAGAGAATATATTCCTACATTGTGGGAGCCCGTTCTTGGGTTATTCGTGGCTTTACCCAGCAGGTCCGAATAGAGGATGATCAGGACCACCGGCCTGAGTGCAGGTGTCTGAGATGGTCTGCACTTGGCTGTGCTGGGGGAGGAGGTCTTTTGCTCCACCCCTTGGCGTCTCTATAAAAACCCTGGGCCAGAGACAGTCGGGGCCTGTTGGAATAGGTTCCAGGTCCTCTCGAGGCTATACTTTATTTTCTATCTGTTTATCTCTGCGATATTCTCCGCAATAAATCCTTCTATCTAATATTTCCTGCTGATTGCACTCAAGAAAACTCTGTGGGGGTGGTGGGTAAATGCCCCACACTACATGGTGAGTCTGAGGATGATTGGACTAATCCTTCTGCTATAAACACACTCGTGCCATGCTGGCTATGGCTGTGTGAATATGTTTCCTCTAAAGCTCATGCATTGCCAGTGTATGATACTAATTCATGAGTGGTTTAGAGGATATTTGATCATTACAGTTCATCCTCATTGAGAGGAAATAAGACTATTTTTAATACAGAGAATTTGCCCTCCCATAGGAAGACACCCTTTGGAGAATATAGCTATGAAATAGTATTCTGGAAGGACAGATCAATGCTCTATAGATGCTGAAACTACCAGAAACTTTACCTTGGACTTCTCTGCCCACCCACACCAAAAAAACTATGAGCAAATAAATCTGTTCTTTATAAATTGCCCAGCCTATAGTATTATATTACAGCAGCACAAACCAGACTCCAGCTATTCTTATAATAACCCATGGCAGCAAGTCTCATTAATATGCCCATTTGAAATGTAAGAACCAGGCTCTAGTGAAGCACTTTACTCAGTCCCTACATAATATGCATAATAAAGCCATGGATCAAGACTGAGTCCTGTCTTTGAGTGTTAGCACTTCCCTTAAAATGTACAATAATATGAAGCTAAAGAGCAAAATGCAGCTTAAAATCACAGATCATATCAACTTTATATCACCAATATTTCTCTCTCCCCCTCTCTCCTTTGCATTCCATTTTCCATCTTCTAATGTGTTCTAAGTATGTTGACTGATATAAAGCCCAGTGGTTAGAATTCCATCTTTTAAAATATAGTGTTGTCAATTTCTTGTACTTTTGTCAATTTATTCTACTGAAAAGATCTGATTATCACTTTCTATACTCTTGTCTAATTTTGATGGCAAAAAAAAGAGTGACTCAATAAAGATAAAGGAAAGAACAAAAAAGATGCAAAGCCTCAGAGAAACAATAATTATAGAAGAAAATGATCAGCAAAATCACACCTAACTGCGATCCACCATATATATTAACGCCAACCAAAATAGCAGCAATCAAAAATCTCCACCAACTCGAGACAGAGCAGATGACAGATGACGCACTGGAGAACAAAATCACGAGAATCCCAATTATCTCTGATTATGTATGCACAGTAGGAAGTTTGCAATACTTCAGACAAAGTGTTGCATGGCAACCAGATTTTTTTGTTAGACTACTAAATTAGAATCTTCAGGAAATTCTACTTCTGCAATAATTTCAGTTAAAAATATCAAATATTAGTCACCTGGAAAAAGTAAATTCTTAAGGTTACTAGAAATATGACCAAAAACATATTAAGTTATTACTTGATAGGGTTTCCCATTATTTACATGTAAAGGATACAACTGCCATGCACCTTTTTATTTCTTTCCATTACACAGGAGAATCTCCTCTCAAGGCCTATCAGTAGGCATTCAACACATTTAACCATTGTTTGGACAATGGTTACAGAACACACAGAGCATATCGCTGTCATACTATTCTTCATATGCTATTGTCCTACTGAGGCAGAGTTGGATTTCAATTGTTACAGGCTGAGTCCTGGTTTTGATGTATAACTGCCTACATATTGTCCTCACTGTTTTCTATCAACTGTGTCCTGAACTCACATCTGCTCTGCCCCAGCCACCTCTACTATCTCCTATGCGTGTTCTCTCGTCGGAGAAAGACTGCCTTGCCTGGTCCAAGTGCTGCTTCTGTTCGTCTCATGTCATGAAGAAAAGAAATGGGGGAAATAGGTTTCACGGAGAAGTTTCCATCATGCTCTCTGACCAGGATCCAGGTGTTTCAGTTTTCAGAAATAAATTATTTAGCCCAAAATGAAATTTTAATAGCCAAGCTGCTTGTCTCACTTCAAGTACATGTTCTTATTAGGAAGGTGATCATTCAATCATTCATTCACTCTTTACTCATCATGCTTGTTAGTTTCTTCATGGCAATATTAGAGAAATGTTGGTGCAGAATTTGTGTGTTACAAAGACTTAATGACTTGTTACACAAATGGACACAAAGGAAAAGTTTCCTCACAGTATTTGTGACATGAGTTTCAAATATACTATAAAGCAAAGAGAAGACAGTGTGGCAGGCCACAAAGGATAGAAAAACATAGAGACACAAATGGTTGTGAAAATAAGGTGAGAATCCATAAGATGATCAGACAACAGGGGAAGAACAGAGATTATATAAGGCCACATGTTATGAACTATGCAATCACATCATGCACTGACATTTACCTTTCTGTGATCTGATTAATGAAAGCTAGGCTATGGGATCAATTGAAACACTGGGTAAGGACCACATTGCCTGTATGGTAGAGTGTTGTAAGGGCAAAGAAAATTCAGTGAGCAAAGTGGGGATGGAGTAAAGGGTGAGACTATCCAGAACATTTAGAGAAGGAAGTATGATATAAGTTTGATGTATAAATTTAGACTCAAGCTTGACCAAAAAGTATTTCCCTTCAGGTGGATACATTCAACACTATATGGCGTCCAAAATAAAAATAACTATTTTGACTTCTCCTTGTGTGATGTCATCTGGATTTTTCTAAGTGTGCCATCCCTTTTCTCTAGTTCAAAAAATCCTAAAGCAAGTCTTTTTAGCTACTCAGTATTAATGAGTAGTCTGTGGTAAATAAGAAGTGGGCTATGATGGTTAATTTCAGATTTCTATTTGATTTTATTATAGAGAAATTCCAGAGACTTGGTAAACATCATCTTGGCATATATATGTGAGGGTATTTCTGGAAGAGTTTTGCTTTTCGGTGAATGGATTCAATAAAGACATTGCAGCCTCTCCAGCATATTACATATGTATGTTAGTGGAGGGGTTATTTTCAAAGCTGCTGAGCACTAGATGAATCCAAAGGCCAAAGGACTGGAAATGTGCTGTCTTTATTCTTCAGCTGCTCTGTCTATCTCTCCTCCCCATGCACTACAGAAGACCAGGTTCTCTAAGCATTGTATTCTATGACTTACAAGTGCACCTCCCTCACATGCATCTGCACCCATCGCCTCCAGGTTTACCTTCAGAATCACAGATATGCTTTTGCCTCACCTTGTTCATGTGATTTAAAACTTGTACAAAACTGTAATATTGGGTTTTAGCTTGGAGGTCACAGAATTCAGCAGCCTTTGCACAACAAAGCATACATGCACATAATGCAAACACACAATAAAATATAGTTATTAAGTAACCAAAAGAAGGCAAAAAGGAAGGGAGGGAGGGCAGGGAGAATGAAAAGGGTGAGTGGATGATGTGAGGTATCTAGCTGATGACTTGAGAGTCAATCAGACTGCTATCCAATAAATGAACAGTATTGAGTTGCAATGTAAGTCCAACTTCTGATATGAAATCAACAGCACAATATTAAGAGTGCCATTTACCTACTTGAATTTGCTTCCTCTTAATAAAATGCAGACAGTCTTATTAACAGCAAGTTTATAGACATATTATGGCTAAAATAATTCAAGAAAAAAAGCTCTTTGTGTAAATAGCAATGTATTACATTTATGAATGTCATTTTCTGAAATCTTATTATTTTCTCTATTCCAGACCAAAGCCTGATAGGTAGCACATATGCTCTTGGTAAATGCATACCGAATAAATTACTGATTGAGCAGAGAAAATGGGGACATAAATACATTTTGAAGTGTTAAAATAGATAGATATTAAAATCTAGACCTCCTGAAGAGAGGTTCATTATCATTCCTTCTGTTTTAATGTCTTATCTGTCCCATCTTATTTGAACATTTCTTGTCATACAAATAGCAAGTAAACAAAAATGATATATTCAAAACTGCATTTTCTGTCTTTAACACACCTTTTATTAATTGCCATTCTGGTTAGTTTTAATTAAGGAAAGACCAAGGAAAATAATTTAATGAAGGTATCTTTCTATGGATACAGTGTAAAGAGGTACTAGCTGTGTCTGGTGTCTGAGTGAGGCCCCCAGAATTCATCTGAAACAGGAGTCTCTCTGCAACATGATGGTCTTATTAAAAAAGTACTTTATTTTAGAATTTATTTCTTTTCTTCTGGTACTCTGTATTGAACTCCACATGCTAGACAAACATTCTACTATTGACTTTTATCTCTAGCACCAAAATGTATTTATTTGTAAATATTCCCCATCTGTTGACTAATTTTTATGGAATGTGATCATGATTGTAACTTTCAAAATAATCTTGATGGAGTACTTAGCAAATCAAAGGCACAAGGA